AGTTGTCTACTTTAACTGGAGAATCGTGGATGCATCACTTATTGGGGTCACGTGGTGAGGTCAGTGAACAACGCTAGACAAACGCGCTGTTTGGTGGAAGTATTAGAAATAAGAACAACTTTGTTAGTTTAGTTTTAGTAAGAGTTTTTTTTGTAAGTGTTTTACGACGCTCGCAACTGCATAAGGTCATATGAGCGTGCGGGACACACGAAACATTTTCAGTTGGTAGGAAATTGTGAATTATGCCCGGGTGGCGGGCGAAGCCTACTCTTATCGATTTTTGACCTCCAATAGACTTAACGTTCGCAACGTACACACGGGACCTCGGAGATTTTCGCCCTTGTCCGAGAAGACTAGGTGTAGATCTTTCCTACCAGAAGATCAGGATGTGGCTGAAAGACAGCAGTAAGGAGGAGCCAAGGAGAAGCAGTAGAAAGGCTGCAGAAAGAGTCAGGAGCTCAGAGAAGGGGGCAAAGGAGGTGAGGGGGTGGGGGCAGAAAGAGTCAGGATAATGAGACAGGAGATTTGCGATGCTCAAGGATAGATAACAAGGCTAAAACTAAAACAGCACCTGGACATGGATGGTTGATGCCTCTAGAAATAAAGCTGTCTGTCTGTCTGTCTCCTCCGTGCCTCCCTCTCTCTCTCTCTCTCTCTCTCTCTCTCACTCTCTCTCCCTCTCCCCTCATCCCCCTCCCTGTGGGGACCGGTCGGAGAGAAGGGAGAGGACACTCCCGTATCTGCCCCCCACACACCTTTCACACATTTTGTGTTCGCTCATTCTAATGAGTGACATCTGTAAGACCAATCTCCTCGTGGTTTAAGGAGTGGAAATATGATGTACAAATTCAATTATTGCATTTTTGTTCTTTTACGGTCACATCCCTTTACCGACATCCTCTTTTGTAAGGAATGGAAAGAAAGATGTAGAGACCCGTGTTTTACATTACTTTCAACTTGTGAACTGTTGGGGTTTTTTCACCATCATTTCCTTCCCACTTGAATGAAATGGATTGTGATCTATTCATAGATTTCCTTCGGATAGAGAGACAGAGGGAGAGGGGAACGTATAATGATGTCGCTGTTATATTATTAATGATAATAATAGTGATAACAATAGCCATAATAACAATGAGAGTAATAACGATGAGAGTAATAACGATGAGAGTAATAACGATGAGAGTAATAACGATGGCCATAACGACGATGGCAAGAATGACAACAGCAAAAATAACAGTAGTAACAATAACAACAACGATGAATAACATCAATACTACCACTAGCATTAATAATAATAATAATAATAATAATAATAATAATAATAATAATAATAATAATAATAATAATAATAATAATAATAATAATAAAAAAATATTAAAAAAATATAATAATAATAATAATAATAATAATAATAATAATAATAATAATAATAATATTTTTTTTTAAAAATTTAAAATAATAATAATAATAATAATAATAATAATAATAATAATAATTATTATTATTATTATTATTATTATTATTTCTTATCTATTTCTTTCTATTAACTTTTTAATAATAAGTTTCGTTTGATTGCTTCTCTTTGGATACAGAATGTTTGTAGTGTCAAGATGAATGTCTTCCTTTTTAAATTGATCTTTTAACGCATTTCGGTATTGTATGAACAGTTCACATTCCAAAAGTACGAGATCAATTGATAGTGTTTTTTGGCTTTTGTCGCATATTTGATTTCTTTTGATGAAGAAATATGGTGAGTATAATCGGAGTCGGGTAATCAAGTTCTGGCCTTCTCCATACGGTACTACAGTTTTTATGTTTGGTACTACAGTTTGTATGTTTGGTACTACAGTTTTTATGTTTGGTACTACAGTTTTTATGTTTGGTACTACAGTTTTTATGTTTGGTACTACAGTTTTTATGTTTGATACTATCTTTTTTAAGAATGAGCCTGTCTTTGAATTTGTCCATGCAGTCTGAAAAATGTTTTTTTTTACTCTTTGGTGCAAAATATTTTTTTAAATTCGAGGGTCCCAGTTTTGTATTAAATATATTCTTTCTTTTGCATTCTTCCCTTGTTTGCAAGCTCGTCAGCCACCTCATTCCCATCTATTCCACTATGTGATGGTACCCAAATAATGGTAACCCTTTTCCTGTTAGTTAATAATTGTTCATGTAATTCGATTATGTCCTGGAGAATGTCAAATCTAGCATGATTTCTGTGAGGTTCCCCAAGTGGTTGGGCTGCGAGAGAGAACCAGTGAGTATAAGAATATCCCTGTCCAGCTCATCACCGCCCGCCTGTTTCATTGCTCCCTGTATCGCTATCAGTCCAGCAGTAAGAAGAGAAGTAGAATCTGTTATTCCTGAATACGACCGGATATTTTGTTTTTTAACATAGAATCCTGACCCAGTTACGTTCATCCTCCTTGGATCCATCAGTGAAATACTGGGTATGGTTACTATATATAAGTCATGAATATGTTTCAATGTAATATTTTTCACTGATGCCTATTTGTCTTTTCTCTTTTTCAACCTTGTTCTTTAGTGTCAGGTCCACATTAATGTCACAATCTACCTTGTTGCAAAAGTTCTGTCACACCCACCTCCAAAGTACAATAACTCGTTATACTATTCAACATAGTCATGAGAAATTTGGTACCCATGATCTTTCTTCATTTTCTGCAAACATAGTCATGAGAAATTTGGTACCCATGATCTTTCTTCATTTTCTGCAAACATAGTCATGAGAAATTTGGTACCCATGATCTTTCTTCATTTTCTGCAAACATAGTCATGAGAAATTTGGTACTCATGATCTTTCTTCATTTTCTGCAAACATAGTCATGAGAAATTTGGTACTCATGATCTTTCTTCATTTTCTGCAAACATAGTCATGAGAAATTTGGTACTCATGATCTTTCTTCATTTTCTGCAAACATAGTCATGAGAAATTTGGTACCCATGATCTTTCTTCATTTTCTGCAAACATAGTCATGAGAAATTTGGTACTCATGATCTTTCTTCATTTTCTGCAAACATAGTCATGAGAAATTTGGTACCCATGATCTTTCTTCATTTTCTGCAAACATAGTCATGAGAAATTTGGTACTCATGATCTTTCTTCATTTTCTGCAAACATAGTCATGAGAAATTTGGTACCCATGATCTTTCTTCATTTTCTGCAAACATAGTCATGAGAAATTTGGTACCCATGATCTTTCTTCATTTTCTGCCTACATGAAATGAACAGAGTTGACCACATGTCTTTCTTTATTCTTATTCTTAATTTTTACTACAATTCTTACTTTTAATTTTTACTACAATACTTACTTTTAATCTTTACTTACTTTTAATCTTTACTACAATTCTTACGCTGTACCGTAAATTATCGTAATATAATGGGTGTGACAGAACTTTGGGAGCTCAGTCTATTTCCATAAGGGTAGTTCTTGTTTCAGTGTGGCGGACATTTTTTAAAACTTTCAAAGTTCCCATAATCGCTTGCGTGCTTTCTACAACGCCGTTTTTAGTTTTGAGATGTTTGTCTGAGATCTTGATTTTTTCCGTCTCTGTAGACATTCCTGGCGTTGTTTTCTTGATGATAATTGACTCTATGCCACAGTTTGACATGGCATTCCTGCCTTCTTATCCAAAGAGGGGGGGGGGGGGGGTTAGGTCCGGACTGATAAATCCATGTTACTTTCAGCGCGTTTAGATTTGCTGATTATTCTCAAGGCTGAATTGTTTCTTTGGCTGACCTTTTGCTCCTTGGTCGTATTTATTATCGTATAATATCAGATTTTTGTATATCGATGTTTTTATTTTTGAACTTATCTCCCAGGTTTCTCCTGCTGTGTATTTCAAAATAATAAGGGTGTTGATTCCTTTCTCAAACATGTTCAGCTATATGCTCCTTAAACTGAAGGCATTTATCAAACGTTGCTTCTAGATATTTTACTGACTTTGTAGTATGGACATTTGTTCCATTTATCTGCAGATCTGGGCATAGGTTTTGCTTAAAGAAGATTGCTTTTGTTAAAGAAGATTGCTTTTGGTTAAAGAAGATTGCTTTTGGTTAAAGAAGATTGCTTTTGGTTAAAGAAGATTGCTTTTGGTTAAAGAAGATTGCTTTTGGTTAAAGAAGATTGCTTTTGGTTAAAGAAGATTGCTTTTGGTTAAAGAAGATTGCTTTTGGTTAAAGAAGATTGCTTTTGGTTAAAGAAGATTGCTTTTGGTTAAAGAAGATTGCTTTTGGTTAAAGAAGATTGCTTTTGGTTAAAGAAGATTGCTTTTGGTTAAAGAAGATTGCTTGGGTTTTGTGAACATTTACGTTAAATCCAAGATTTGTTCCAGTCTGAATGTCGACATTTGTAGAATTTTCCACAGCTTTTTAAAATGACAGTGGTTTGTTTTTTTGCTCTCTTTCCCAGGGCATGTTTGGCTTAATCCACAACGCAGTCTCATCTGCAAACTGCCCTGTGCTTATCCTGGGATATTTATCTTCTTTTGCTCCTACTGAATTTATCAATATGTTAAAAAGTGTGGGAGAGATTACAGCCCCCTGGGGTGTTCCGTTTTCCTGACTTTTTATTTCAGATAAAACGCCTCCAACTTTACCCAGAAATAACCTTTGATAAAGAAAGTCTTTATTATAATTATACATGATACTTTTTATCTCCATTTTGATAATTTGTTCGAGGGTTCCTTCTTTCCATAGTAGATCGTAAGCCTTTTCTAGATCAAAGAAAACTGCTGCCGTTACTTTCCCAAAAGTTCTACATTTGTCCAGTTCATGAGCCATTCTCAATAACTGATCGTGTGTTTGCTTTTTTCTTCTGAATCCCGACTGGCTGATACAGAATCATTTCTTTTTTTCATGATGTTGACG